ACAAATAAGAAAAAACAACCCAAAATTGTTAAAGATTATATAGTTAACTTGGCTGTTTAACAGTAAGTTAAAAAAAGTTAAAACACACTAATACAAATACATGAATGGCATAATTAATGGAGTATCCTATTTGTAAAAAGGGAATCATTTCTAACAGCTTGCACCTTTGCCTTCCTAACTCTCTGCTATATAAAGGGTATGCCATTATTGGAAGTAAAAATTAATCAGTGTGTGGGTTAATTATGGTGAAAAAAAATAAGCAAACGTACTGGTGAAAAAGTTGCCATTATTATGAATCAGTGAAAACATGTCTTTTACCTGGAATTCTAGTATTTCAGGAGGGTGAAAGCACATTAAACTCCCATGATATATGAATTCATCTATAACATGACTGGTCTGGTGATTGACCCCTGTCCTCTACACAGCCCCTATTCTCAATAGGGTCCTGCTAGAAGTTTTATCTTCATCACAGGGTAGATCCCATATCCTTGTTTTTCTTTTCCCTCTCAGGCCAATCTCCCCAGATGAGGACAGCAAAATAGGTATCAATTAATGAAGATATCTTTAAAATCACTGCTACTGTTTTAGAAGTTCCAGGTAGTCACAGGATTCAGAATGCCTATTTTGATAATTAAGTCTGAGCTGATAACCACCAAACTGCTGCTGGAACTGGGACGTATGTTGGTAATACCGCCAGGACTCAGGAACTCCAGACTGGCTGACTGGATGGGTTGGGCTGGCCCTGGTCATTATTTTGGTCCTGAAAATAACATAACTTTACATTTTATGTGACTGAATATTTTAGACTTCACTTATCACATAATGGTAGGGTTTTACTATACTCAGTAGCTAATTAATGCCACACAGTGCCCACCACAGTACAACAAGTGACAGATACAGCATCTCTCTCTGCCACCAGCCCCTCCTCAGAGGAGCATAGTGGTTTGTCACACAGGAAAGCCAGAGAGAAGCCATTGTGGCTGCTGTAGAGTACAGCTGTGGGCAGAAGATTTACAGGGAAAAAGAAAAGAGAGAAGGCAGTCAGCTAAGTAACAAACTATTTCAACAGATAAAAACTCTTTGGCTGTTTGTTATTAAGCATTAATGTCACTTCTATTAGTCCTAAATTATTCTACATCATTTGTTTTTATAATTTTGGATTATATATACAGAAAAATGTGCTCCTATTTTAAATTTTCACGAGCTTTAACTGTGACTTGAGATATTTGCTAGGATGTTAATAACTGATATATTACTTACTAACGAACCTAGTTGAATAAGTGTGTGTGAAAGATAGAAGAGAAAAAAATAAACATTAGAAGGTAAGTGACTTAGGCTTAAAGCTATAAAAGGAATCTGAAAATAGGTTCAAACAGATGTGGTAGATAAAAATGCAAACACAGCTGTGTCTCATTTCTATTTGTACTTGCGCATTTAAATTTTGAATACTTTCCATTTCTAAAGATGCTATAAGAAAATAATACACAAAATCTCTTTTTAAAGCAATAGAGGGTACACATTTTTAAAAGTTAAGAAATACCGTTGACGTTCCCATTGCAGCAGATGTGAAATATTTTGGTTTATATGTTGTTAGATCCACTTCTGAGGCTACATCTTTGGGCTC